CCGGAACCCACGATCAAAGGTCCAGTTGAAGGACGTAAGGGTCCGAAGGACTGGTTGTAGGTCACATAAAGAATCGCGGCCCGTAGGGTCATGACCTGAAGTATCAGTCAGAGGTCCTCTTGCTCTGTTTAAGGAACCCCTTAGACAATGCGGGCTTCTAAGACGGTCGGAGACCACGAACACCGAACAGTCGGCTCCACGTCTGTCTGAGCTATTGAGACCCATTTCCCAAGCAGAAACGAGGGCAGAGTCCGCGATTTGCAATTTTCGGGTCCCTGCCACAATGAGGGGCTCCTGTATCGGTTAGGGGCCACAGTGCCGAGCAGGGGACCTGCGGTAGCAAGTGATCGCGAGTCGGAGCAGTGTGTAAAGGCCCCCCGCCCATAGTCACATTAAGGACCCCCATCCATAGGTCCGCGGTCTCAAAAATTACTCACATGATTTCTCGCACCGACAGAGATATTGATACGGAGCGTTCCTCTACTTCACGCAGAGATCGCGACCAACGAGCAGTCGGCTCCGTGTTGGTCTGAGTTGTGGGAGCTTTTTTCCCAAGCAGGGACAGGGTCGGGCCCGCAATTCATGTTGGTCGGGTTCCTGTATCGTTCAGGGGCCCACAGTGCCTAACAGGACATTCTGTGCCAACACGGGACCTCGGATCGGTCGGGGAAGATTTGCTCAACAGGGACGGGACGGGAGCCGGAATTGCAGAGGGCCTCTTGCGTTGGTTGGGGCCCTCTGGCAATCAAATGAAACATAAAAACTTATCTGGAGGTTTCACAGTAATGTAGCAAACTTGTCCTGTGTCAGTCAGGGCCCCCAGTACCGAACGGTGGGGCCCCCAACCCTACGCCATCACGGGCCCGTTACGCCCAGCTTGAGTCTGTGCCAATTATTTGACCACCTGCGGCGAGCAGGGATTTTGTTGTTAATGACAGTTCATGCGTCGATCCGGGGTTTAATGCGCGTGCCAGAGGGCCTCCCGCGCCAGGACGCGGACCAATCTGATACGATGCACCCCTCTAAAGGCGTCCGGATCGGCCAGGGAATGCCGCCCCGTGTCGCCGGAATGACGGCCGGAAAACACACCGCGATGGGAGAAAATGACCTTTCAGTCCCTGACCGGGAACAACAATGTGCCTCTTAGTGTAGTGCTCAAGGGGCCCCTTTACCGGAAAAGGGAGTCTCATTAGTGCTGAGTGGATTGGGATGAAATGACAAACGAATACGGTCATCCTATCTTCCCCGAGAACATTTATTATTTTGCAGAATCGACTAGTAAAACAACTAACGTCAAAAGGTTTGAGTCTGCGAGCCAGGTGCCAACAGCGTAGTAGTTATCGCGCCTGCTTAGCTCTGCGCGTCTTGGAAACCACAGGTACGAGGCCTGATTCCCCGCGGTGCCCGCCCTTCCCGCCAGGTTGGGAGGCTGACGGCGCCACATAGCCCCACCAGCTGAGTGCGTCATAAAGCTCCAGTGACACGCCCGCAATCCCCGGGAACAAGGATAGCCATGGCTTGGGTCGCATTTTCGTAAAACCGAACGGCGTTGGTCAATGTAAGTACCGCCGAGGGGTGGGCGTCGGGTGGCGCCGGTGGGCAACAATGGCCATCGTAAAATAATGCTTCTGAATATCTTCTAACATTAATTCGTGCCCCCCGTACGTACGCACGTACCCCGTACCCCAGTTAAAACATAACGCCGGGCGAACCTTTTTTTAACTCTAAGGATATCCTCTGTGTTGTGTGCTCGCCCAGCCGGCCCGGCGGCACAGCATGCTGTCCCTGCCGTGTCGCTGCGCGGCTTCGGCCGTACGGTGGAATGCGACCTACCACCGCGGGCGCTGACCGCCGTCCCGTGGCGGACCGTACGGGACGCGTGATAGGTGCGTGTGCGCGACCCCAGTGCAAGCTGACTTATGAGTGGTTGTTCACCCGAACTGAATGCAATGTCGTGCCTGCCTGGGATAGCAGGGGCAGTACGCCTCTGGACTCGGTCCAGTACAAATCGCCGCATCGGTACACGTCTCTGTCTGACCGAGCTGAGTTGAACCGCTGGACGAAGACATCACACCTTGGACGGGTTAACATTTACAGCAACACGACAGAGATTTTGCCTTACTCTTCCAGTTCCACCACCACATTGCAGCACCACTTCGCGTTGTTATAAAGACCAATAAGTTATCGTCATAAATCTAAAAACCGCACAGGTGAAATGTATGCCCGGAACATCTCTTAATGTCAGATTTGATGTCCAGATGCGCTCAAAGGTACTCATTTGATATGCGTCACCATTTTCGTCCATCTGTTGGCCACAACCTAGTGTGAGCCACAGGGCGGCCGCCGCGCTGCTTATGGAGACTGTAACGTCTGGCATCGAGTTTTTTCTTTCTAACGCGTGCGAGTGCGCATACACAAAAACAAGTTAGGTAATTCATACCACTAATCGATTCTGACTGAATGTTGAAGATATCGAGCCAAACATAGCTTTGCCATGTTAATACAAATTGTTTGCCCATTTTAATCCCCAATCTACATTCGCGGAATCCTTGCTATCTCTGTACCACCCGGATAAAATTCCGACAAAGTTTCTGAGTTCCATCGATTTAAAAACAGTCCACTTGACCAATGTAAAAGGAGGAGCGCTGGTGATTCAATTCATGCAGTCATATAACGCGTGATTTTGTCAGTTTATTTACCCTAAACTTCAGGCAGAAATGATCTCGCGGTAGCGTCTGGCCCTTATTCCAGTTGTAGAAAGGAAAAATGTGCAATATACATAGATAGATAGATAGATAGATAGATAGAGAGAGAGAGAGAGAGAGAGAGAGAGAGAGAGAGAGAGAGAGAGAGAGAGAGAGAGAGAGAGAGAGAGAGAGAGAGAGAGGGAGAGAGAGAGGTATATATATATATATATGTATATATATATATATATATATATATATATATATATATATATATATATATATATATATATATGTGTGTGTGTGTGTGTGTGTGTGTTTGTGTGTATGTACGCATATATATGCATATATATATATATATATATATATATATATATATATATATATATATATATATATATGTTAGGACCGAGCTTAGCGGTTAGGCGAGGTGCATTCTCGACGAAGAACGAAGTCAGCTGTTCGTGATGTGCGGTAGACAATATAGTTTGTTGGGCACCACTTATGCCTCAGGTTTTGTGAACAGCTGGTGTCACGGGTCGGCAGACGAAACGGGAAAGTGTTGCCCAATAGGCGAGCGCGTGACATTCCGCGGAGGTTCGGAGAGCTGTCCGAGGTGACGTGTGCGTCCGGCGAGTTTTCGAGGGGAAGTCCGCGTTGGTTAGTGTACGGAGAAGGCAGGTCGTGAATGGGAGGCCCGCGGCAGAAGAATATCGGAGTTTCTTTTCTCGGAAGGGAAACGCATGACGGCAGCTACCAACAAAGTTAGTTAAAGAAGCGTTACACACACACACACACACACACACACACACACTATATATATATATATATATATATATATATATATATATATATATATATATATATATATATATATATATATATATATATATATATATATATATATATATATATATATGTATACATACATCATATCTGAGAAAAAGATGTCCTCAACGACAAATGGGGCATATCCGGGGATTTCTTTAAGAGGGGCTCCTTTTACTGTCAGGGCCCTTTGTTAGCCCTGTGCCCTCCCCCCCCCCCCGCCAAGGCTCTTGCTGGGCCCCTGCCATGTGTCAACGGTTAAATAAGTACTACTTTCTGTGCTTGAAAACATTTAATACGGTATTCAAAATGAACATTTTACGGTAATTTGACACACAATTTTAAGCATTTTTAACACAAGATTTTCAGCATCTTTGACATGAAACTAGTTCAAGGGAGTGTTCCACCTTCGATGATATCGAAGCAATCACCATGTATGATGACATAAGCTCACCTGTAAGTGTGTGTACACTTTTAAAACGTAAAAGACTTCTCTAGCCAGCACAATCCCTCTAGCAAGTAAATGTACTTCCTAAGTCGTCGTTTGATTGCGTCACGGAACGTTTGGATGACGCCTAACGGACTGTCAAACTGCCCGTTCGAAAGTGACACCCTAACGGCCGGGCTGACCCAGCTGTAGTGCTTCAACTTCTCGAGAGGTGTTGCGCTTGATGATGCGGTGTTTTCAGAATCTGAATATCGTTGTATGCGAGTGTTTTAGTCCTTTTTCATGGTGTTCCTACATATTAATCCGTGATCGTAGTGTTAAGTTGCATTCACATGCTTGGTTTTACGCTATTCTTTAGTCATTGGATGACAATTCCCATCTCCGCAAAACCTAGTGCTAATGTTCAATTTCCTGTATTTTGCAGCGCAAAAGAGGGTTCGTGTTTGAAACCTGCACTGAATGCATGACATTAGTTGAAAGCCAAGTCCATTGGTTTATAATATCACGCATGCTCACGCACGCCACGCATGCCAGACACGACTAACTTGATGAATATTTGTGTTGGCCTTTAATACCGCAAGGCCGATGAGGTAGGACAGTTTGAGTAACATTTCAGTGGCGTCATGATGCCTGGGTGACCTTGACGCAGTCTGCACAAAATATTCTGCACATTTTCGCGGCGCTTAGCTCAGGAACTAGAGAGTTTTAAGTTCTTAGAGGGGCAGAGCTGTGAACCGCACTGAATGATCTTATAAATGGCTACCATAGTTCAAGACCACAGGGAAATGTGGACTTCCTTTAATCACTCGCACGTTACCAGAGTTTACTCTCCCCTTCTCTGCTTTCACAGCATGCATTGTATCCAGTCGTCATTGTCGAGGCCCACAGCAGTGATTTCCTGTGTGTAAGGCGCCATGGTTTCATGGACGCGCATCGGCAAACCAGAGGCAACGACATAAAGTGATAGTCGTCGTAGAGGCTCCCATAAGACCAAAGTACAACTTAGTACTTGCATCCCGTTATGATAGCTTGCCCGATTCATAATTTATTTTCAGCTCCAAATAGATGCCAAAGTTCCTCTTGGCATCAGACACACTGGCCACAGCAGCGAGCACCCCGTTCCCTACCGGGCACTGAGAAAAGCACCGCAAATCACTCGCACTCACAGCAGCGACCGACTGCCACGGGACCCCTCCCCGCGCTTCAATAGCGGCTGAGACGGGGGCAAGTAGGCACAGCGAACGGGCAGTGAGAAAGCTTGGGTCCCTGCGACAAGACCGGTCCGTGTACATGGCGGGGGACTCGCGACCCTGTGTCTGGCGCGTGTGCATCACACGTCCTGCGCCGCCGCGCTGACGCAGAGAACGCGACAGGCTTGTGGAGATTAAAAGGACTTGTGGAGGGTGAACTGGATATATACATATACACCAGGGCGTCATAGAGGAAGGGTAGCTCGTGAAAAGGGGAGAAGACTCTTAAACTGAAAAGCTTGTTGCCGGCAGTTCTTAGGCGCTATCTCGACGTCAACCTACCCGAAGGCCGCACGCCTTGCATTTCTTAGCGTGCGCCCAAATAAGTGACGCGTACTGCCCACTAATTTCTGGCGGGCGTTTGTTTACACTCCACAGCAACCACGCATATTTTGTAAGGTTTCATGTCCGATGTGCTCGATTATGACAGGCTCAGGCTGAGGTCGTGACCCGATTGGGTGCAGTGACTGAGAGCGCTGTGCCAACGCCAGAAGGGGTTCGCCGACTGACAGCACAGCTGTCGCCCAGGTGACGACAGTGGGGTCGCCGGCCCTTCCGTCCAGGTGACGCTGCTATCGCCGGCTTCTGTATCCAGGTGGCGCTGCTGTCTTCACTAGACCTGCCAGAGAACAGCGACGACAACCTGTCGCTGCCTAGGTCAACAAACTGACCATGGTTTGAAAAGTCGTGGTTTGTGCATGCAGCCAGCGACAAAAGCTGCAGGCTGGCTGAGATCCCCGGCAGCTGACCGAATGGAAGTCTTTTTTATGAAAAATGTTCTTTCTGATCCGGGACTACACCGCGCTCGCTCTGTCCCGGGCCATATGAGACACCCTGTTGGCCATCGGGCGTAGTATTCCGTCGTACTGAAGAATCTCTGCAGCTTCCTCAGCCATTTTCTTGATTGATTCGTACGACCCCTGTGAAACAGAAGGCAACCATTACAAAACGATTGGTTACAATGTGTGGTATTGGGCAGCCAATGTTCACGTGATTCATCCACGGACTCAAAACAAACCGGGTGGCAAGGAAAGGTGGCAACTGACAACAATTTTCGGCTAAGAAATAGCAACACATTTCAAAGACCTTGACAGTGGAAGTAAACAATAGACCATGAAATACACTTTCAAAGAACCATTAATGGTCACAAATATGCATGTTCACGAAGCTGCTGGTGCCCTGTGCAGAACACTTATCGACAACGCCATCTAAAAGGCCAGCATAGCGATCATTTTCCCGAAATAGGCAGTCTATTTCGCGCTAAATACTGTCTTTTAAAAATCCAGATAATTAATTCGACACATTTTCCTAAATCTCTCTGGACCCGGAGCCACATCGCGTTTGGATCTTGATAACTTCATGATTGTGTGAAAACGCGACTGAACAAAACTTCGTTACATTTATTTTGTACGAAATTTTTTACACGTAAATTTTCACATCGTCAAAACTTGCACACGAGTCTGCACGCATATATTCGAATGACAAAATGTCGTTTGTACAAAATCTCACTCATGCACTTCTGCATGTACATAAAAGCTGCTGTTCGCAACTTTTTTGGTCGCGATACTTTGTACAAGTGATTCTTTACATCGATAAGACAGTGGTAAAAGCCTTATTCCTCAGAAAAAACCAAGAGAATGGAGACATAGATGGGTCGATGTTTCGGCAAGGTGCCTTTATAGAAACAATAGCAGAAACAGAATGCAACAAAAGTATAGCAGTAACAATTTTCTGCTATTGTTTCGATCAAGGCATGTTGCCAAAATGGCAGCCCATGTATATCCACGTGCTCTTGTATCTTATCTATGTGAATAATATTCCTCGCAAATGCACTTAACATTTTACGTAATTCTTCGCATCGCGCTTCTGCACATACGCAAGTTATATCGCGTGTATTTTGGATGCTGTACTCTATGCTCTTTGCTCAACTCTTTGCATTCATCTCTCCTCGCTTCGCACTCAAGGATTTGCCATTTTTTAAGGTTCCATTTTAAGGTTTAAGGTAAGGTTTTAAGGAAAGGTAATAATAAATCCATTGTTGTGTGCATGCAGATGTTCGCACTGCCTTTCTTCTCCCAGCCCCAAACGAGCTTGCTTGGTGTGGAGCTACACAGGTCACCTTTTGGAGCAGGGAAAGCTTCAAGGCTAGTTTAGCCCGGGGCTTGTGTCCACGGCATGCTACTTAAATCTTGTCTTTTTCCCCCATTTCATGTTTTTTGTGAAATTATCGGGCGCAAAGTACTGAACACAGGAAAGGAATATTTGGACAAGAAGTCGTTCACATAATTTAAAAAGTCCTTCAAAGTAACGTGTTTAAAGAAAAACACTTCTTCCAAACATACAAAAACTTCTATTTTTAAGGTTTGTGCATGACGATGTTGATGCAAAAGATTATGTACGAGTATTTACGTATAACAATGTTTGCGTGTATCAAGTTTTGCGCACGATTATTTCCATACAGCGTTTAACGACAGGCCAGTTTGGTTTGTGCGAGATTTTAACACGGCGCACCCGGGTGGCCGGTTGGATACCCTTCGCTCGGGTGGGGATCAATTTGACCCCCCCCCCCCGACTAGATCTCAAGAACTATAAGAGCTAAAAACACCGATTCGCAGGGTGTGTTGGCCTGTACGTGAGCTCACCTGGGTAAAAGTTTAAGGTTCCTAGGACATGACCTTCAGATCAAATAAGGTCAAATAATGTCGCACTCCAGGCTGGTCTCCTAAGTGCCCACAGAACCTAAATATGTGTTCTCAGCAAAAGTTCACATGCTTTTTTAAGGCCAGTGACCTTGTTTTACCTTTCGATGGTTATGGTGACCAAAGTAATGCAAGACTGTTTTGAGTTTTGCATTTGAATTAGCGAGAAAGAATACGATTGGCAGAAGTTTCCTAAAAACAAAATGTTGACCTGGGTCATTTCAAGTCAGTGACCTATTCTGGGCTTTAAGAAGTCCATGGAGGGTGAATAATACAGTTTCTATTATCAATACATTTGAAGTGAACACCAGAAACTATCTCACGGAGTAAGCTCTAGGGTAATAAAGCAGGTTGATTTTCACCTTAGTCTGACCTTCATGCCTAACCCTAGGTCAATCGAACATGTTCACTCAATCGTGTTGCAGACGGCGTCACTTGCAGGCAGCGGCACTCCCGTAGACGGCGCCATCACCGTAGGTGGCGTCATGAAAGTTGTAGGCGGCGCCACTGAAAATGCGCCTGCCGCCCCATCCGCTAGATGTCACCGTGCCCTATGCAGTATCAGGCTTCACTTGGAATTGGTCACGTTAAACCCGCCAGCTGTACCTACAATCATTTTCTATCATTTTAATTATTTCTTCACGCCGTCAGAAATAGTTCCAACTCGTAAAGGCCTTTGACTTGGCGAATTATTTCACAATGTCTTATATGCCTTTCGTCAACGACAACAGATAAGCTCCGCAAACATCCGCTCCCTCTCTCACGCCGCGACACGCGCATGCAACGGTCGGGCCGCTCGCTGCTCCAGTGACTGCCGAATAAACCTTTGTTGTTAAGATACTTGCTGAAGTGCTAGTGCCCATACGCACAACAGTGTATGACTTCGTCTAACACTCCTTTGTTGCATCAGATTGACCATTTCCCTGGAAATTGACTTTGCTTAATCCATCGTCTACTTTCGACCTACCGTAGGCGAGCGAGCTCACGAGGTACCATCAAATTTAACACCAAACGATTCGTAATTCAATTGCCTATATCCATGCAAAATCTAGCGCGCCGACGCCATGTCGTTTAGAAACCATTCTTGAAAACCTTTGCAGGGTCAAATTGACCCCTATCTGAGCGCGTACTAAGTCTACGCAATTTTATGATGCACAAGGTGTCGAGAATTTGCTGAGCAAAGTTCTACATACACACTATTGAAAGCTAAGGAAATGCAATGCAAAATATGTCCTGCAACCAAAAACATTCGTAAAACTGCATGCACAACATACACCGATGTCATGTTCGTCACGACCTGCAGGCATCAGCAAAGAAGGCGAATCTTCAGCTTTCCCTGCAACTCCTTGGCGCTATTAAGGCGTCATCCATAAGTACGGTGCTCAGTCCACAGACACCACACTTAATCGCTGACCTCCTGATCGAAAAGCTGCAGAGCTTTGTCTGCAGGCAAAATCAACCTTGCTTAACCTCACCCGTCGTTTCGGACGATCCACACCAATTCTATAACTGGCTGGCACGACTCCTACTCCAACCAATTTCCCTATAATTATGCAGAACTTTGCTGCCGTTCCAGCCCCCCCCCCTTCGGGTACCACTTCCCTCCCCCACAGCAACCCCCGCCCCACCCCACCCACACCCCAGCGGCACGCGTCAGGACCGCCCCCAGCTGGCCGCGATCAGCCGGCCGGCCGGGCGACGGTGGCGGTACCTGGTGGTCGCCGTCTGACATCAGCGCGCTCTCCGCCAGATGACAGAGCAGTCGGCCTGAAACGGTTGACAGAGGGCGTGCCAGTGACGAGCGGCCGCCTGCCGTTCACCTGTTAATCACGCACACGTGGATGCATGACACGAGCCTACGGCGTCGCAAGCGCGTGCTCGGGGATAGCCGCGGAAGAGAAACACCGTGGTAGCGGGAGCGTGACGGGCCTTAAGCCGTGCAGAGAAGTAACGGTTAGACCATAATATGTGCGTGACGTATTTTCCATAGTCCTAAACTCAAAAGGCTGTGATACATGCGACACATTTAACAGTAGACTCTTGAGAGAGCTAAATCTTTCCCAGTGCAAATATGGGGGGGGGGGGGGCGTTTAAAGCCCTAATGTGTCACGTAACATTGCCATCCATTTATATCTGATGACCCACGGGCATGCATATATTTTCTTTATTTAACCGCTTGAGCTGAGATTGGAGAAGAGCTATGAAATTAAATCCGACAAATTTTCCAGGAAACTTGTAGTTTATCCATTCTAATTTAGATTATGCATCTCATTTTTGCGTTGCGTATTCTCGGAAATAGTCCCAGCACGGTGTTCAGTTTGCACATCACACCAAATGTAACACATTAATGAAATCAGAACTTAAATTCAGTCACATTTATCCGAGCGAATAAGAATGCATCTCCAAAGTTCCGAGTAAAGTGCTATCCAAAGAGGGTCGTAATTGTCTCAAAGGCCGTTGCAGCAAGTTTAAGCTTACTACGTCGGAAATGGGACGCTATCTGCACCCCATCCTCGACCACGTGGGCAAATTTTGCGCCCCAGGGCAGTGATGCCATTCTTCGACGCCGGTACGATAACTGGTTGAAAGTGCCACTGGGTTCCATTCTTTCCAACTGCACGGATGGCCCCAAAGTTACACCAAATTGGGTGCTTCCAGTAGAAACTACCCCAGCTCTGTCAAAGCTGCAATACGACACTCACTGAAACAATGCCAGCAATCTCATGTTAGGCTGAACAAAGACCAACAGAGCACAGTGTAATACGCCAGATCTCGGACTGGAATGACACGTTGTCATCCTACATCACGGCCTGCTGACTAGGAGGCTTCACAGGACCAGGTTAAGCACAGCGCAGACTGAGACAGGAGTGATTGTACAATGTGCGAGTACATGTTCGCAGACCGACGCTCGGACACGGGCTGTTACGGTGTCTGGACCGGCCTCAGACAGTGCGTGTGACGTATGGGTGTCCCTGAGAGAGACAGAGGCCGTTCTCTTGGGCTGGCGGGTGCAGTGTTTGGCCGCCGCTCACCTCTGAGCCGTGTCGGCCCCGGCTCCAGCCTGGAGGTCACCTCCAGCAGGCTCTGGCTCAGCTCTCGCCTCTTCCTCTGGCTCCCCCCGGCGGCGTCTGGCGGAGTACAGGCGAGAGTCCGGAGAATTGGAGATTGAGTTTGGACTGGATTGCCATTGGGTCGGTTTCTTGCATTCAGGGCTGTATTAGGCACGCTCTTGTGACAGAAGCATGACCTATTATCAACCGGCATTGAGTCCAGAGAATACTGAAAGCAGTATCTGCCTGCGCTATGTTTTGGACTAGATATAATTATATGCCCAGTCTACAATAGACAGCAGTATCTGCGGTGTCAGAAGCCAGGTCACATCTGCTGTAAAAGTCAATCACCAAACAAAGGTCATTGCTCTGTCTAAGCCCAAATGTTACATACCATGTCGCTAAAAGTGCACGGGCCGTCTTAACCACAAGCAGCAGCGTCCATTTGCACCGGCAACTCACTCTCAACTCTGCACGGGGGCATAGAAGCTGGACTACAGCATCCTATCGCGCTGTGCAAGATGTGATGTGATGTGATGTGATGTGAGCCTCAGATGTGAAGTCCAAGGATAGCCCCTTCTTCACGGCGTCATAATGCATTCGTGGGCGATTCTCACCTTGCCTTATCTGTAATGGGCGCTTCTTTTCAAAACCATGTGTAATGTGACAATGCTTCAACAATTATAGTTCGGGTCGCATTAGTAAGGCTAAAGCGAGCATATTTAATCCGGGTGGGATGATCGGGAGAGCGTCCCAACTTGATCAAAATCGTGACTCACCAATATGCAGCCTTTGAGTTAAGAAACTGCTGTATTTTGTGCATACTGAGATTTGGGAATATGGCTGCATGTTGCGTTGGGTCTTCATCTACCTAACAAGCCATATTATTTGCAGCAGCCTCACGAAAGGTCGACTTTGATCACTAGCACGTATCAAGGGGATTTCACTTGTTTCTTGCTTCCTGAAGATCCTGAAAGCACCTGTCACTGGGCGCCTGTAATTTATCAGTCGGTATGCTCTTTATCACGTGACCAAATCACGTGACTTCGGCGTGGTAATGCATGCAAAATTGACCTGCTTAGCGCATATTCAATAAAAGGTGACCCGCCAAAAAAACAATCCATTTGTGCCTTTTAAAGCTCATTTCAGACTGGACAAAAACCCATTAAGAAAATCTAGTTGACCGCATGCTTAGAAAACGTTTCAACGATCCTAAATTGAGGTAACGTTCTTGGAGTTGAACCATTGCAAGTCACACGTGGAGGAAACGGTATCGTCTGCTAGATGTAGAGGTTTCGCCCTTCCCCACGAAGTGGAGAGCGAAACGAGTTTGGATGGACGTCATTTTTTCCTGGGAAATCACGAGTTAAAGGTACACAATCACGGTCTTTTCGAAAACAAACAGCGCCAGCCAATTCCGCGGGATGATACCATATTCCAGTCAGACGTCGAAGGCTTACGTTGAGTTATCCTCACACATCAGACAACGAACAACTTCTAATCTACGGCTCCCAGATAGAGCATTTACTTTGTTATTGTTTGACAAACGCATGGTTCCATGTCAGCTGACATTACATTTAGGCATTACGCCAAGATTCCAAAGACCATGCCGTCAGTCAGTCAACGTTAGCACGTCTTGTTCTGATCATTACAATATAATGATGGCTAAGGACAACGAAGTTAAGAACGATGCTACATTTGAAAGGAAAACTGATCCGTGGCGCTCAAGTCTCCGGTTTATTGAGCCTTTTGAGCATTCCAAATGCGTGCCGATTGACACAAGCAAACTCATCAGCCGTTCATGCAGTGACCCTAATTGCCACCCTGGTAGAAAACTGGGTAATGCAGCAAACGCGGAACATTCCACGATGCGCCTGCAACTTAATATGTTTCCGCTGGTAGGACGGCAACACCAAACGTTCACATCAGGACAGCCCAGCAATTGTTTGCTCAGTTATGTCTGGCAAAGTGGTAAGATCATGCTAAGTTCTTTTTCGTTTTCATTCACTTTCTAGGCCAAGACAACCGTAAGCTGGCATGAATTGCCACAATGACTGTGCTGTAAATTTTGGATGATATCCATTTGTGGCACCGCAATAATGCAGGTGGCGGCTTGGATCGGTTTCTTGCTTTCAGGGCTGTACTAGGCCTGCTATTGTGACAGAAGCATGATCCGTTATCAACCAGCATTGAGTCCAGAGAACACTGAAATCCGAAGCTGCCTGCACCATGTTTTGGACTAGATGCAATTACATGCCCAGTTCTACAACAGTCAGCGTATCTGCGGTGTCAGAAGCCAGGTCACATCTGCTGTAAAAGTTAATCACCAAACAAACGCCAATGCTCCGTCCAAGCCCAAATGTTGCATACCATGTCGCTAGAAGTGCACGGGTAATCAGGCAAATGTTAAGCAAGAATCACTAGGATCAAAATGGTGCAAGCCAAACTGATGTTTTTGAGCTAGAACTTGCAGGGGATCTTTCTATCTAGAGCCTGATCTAGATAGATACGCAATCACGGTCTTTTCGAAAACAAACAGCTCCAGCCAACTCCGCGGGATGATACCATATTCCAATCAGACGTCGAAGGCTTACGTTGAGTTATCCTCACAAATCATGCAACGAGCAACATCTAATCTACGGCTCCCAGATAGAGCATTTACTTTGTTATCGTTTGAAAAAGCATGGTTCCATGTCAGCTGACACTACATTTAGGTATTACGCCAAGACGTCGCAGGGAATCTCGAGCCTGCAGGGATCTTTGCAGTGACAAAGCAGACAGCTATCTCCTTCTTTGTGTGGCTAAATAGAGGTCTTTCGATGCAAAGACCGTCCAAGAATATGAAAGAAAGAGGAAGGACGTGGTGTGATATTGGATCATCCTGGTCACTTCAGACTGCGGTACTCTGACCCCACGGAAGGCCCCTGCGCTGTACGTACACTGTGCTGCTGGAGCAGGTGGGCGTTCCAGCAGGACCAGCAGCCAAGCTGCAGCAGTTGGCCGGCCCCCGGCCGACATGCGCGCGTTACAGCAGGATCAGCAGCCAAAATGCAGCAGTTGGCCGGCTCCCGGCTGACATGGTGCGTTCCAGCGGGATCAGCAGCCAAGCTGCGGCAGTTGGCCAACTCCCGGCCGACATGCGCGCGTTCAGCAGGACCAGCAGCCAAGCTGCAGCAGTTGGCCAGCTCCCGGCTGACATGGCGCGTTTCAGCAGGACCAGCAGCCAAGCGGCAGCAGTTGGCCGGCTCCCGGCTAACATGCCCGCGTTACAGCAGGATCAACAGCCAAAATGCAGCAGTTGGCCAGCTCCCGGCTGACATGCGCGCATTCCAGCAGGGCCAGCAGCCAAGCTGCAGTAGTTGGCCGGCTCCCGGCTGACATGCGCGCGTTACAGCAGGACCAGCAGCCAAAATGCAGCGGTTGGCCAGCTCCCGGCTGACATGCGCGCGTTCCAGCAGGACCAGCAGCCAGGCTGCAGCAGTTGGCCGGCTCCTAGCTGACGGCAGCGGCATACTTTCAGTTTGGTGAAGTGTTCGTGGATACAATGTGATTGCATATGATGATGGATGAACATCCGAGCTGTTATGATCCGCGTGCCAGCACGGAATGCTGGTTTCTTTGCTCTCCTATGTAAACAGCGCGTCGGAAAACACAAGCAGGGGCGGAGGAGGCCCCCGCCAAGAAAAACCAACAGATATTTAAACTGGAACGTTCGAAACGTGGTGCAGCTGTGTGGGGACTCCTGGTGTGCTTTGGGGTGGTGTTGGCAACCATGCGACGCATGTTTATGTTTTCTCACAATAGTAGACACCCTTCACGGCAAAGTCAACGCGGAAACTTCTGTTATCTTCATAACCAATTTTGACCAGCAGTGATTATATATCAAAGATAGTACTGCGTTTGAGCAATGTAAGGCATGGCAAGTATGAAGAAAAATTAAGATTATCTCCTTGCAATGATAATATGCGTCATATTCGTTTACTAAGTTGAATTTTTGATCAATTTTTGGTCGCAAGTTTTGGCTCACAGAGTTTACAATGCGAATAATTACTCATGTTTTTTATATGTGCCTATGTTAATCATACATGTTTACAAGGATACATTCTCACAATGTTTACCAAGGATACATTAATTTTCTTTCATGTTCGAATGCCCTCTTCGCTGTGAGCCTGGGGCTGCGACCCGATGCCTTCCATCGCTGTTCATGCTGCACGAACGTCTTGAAGCCGACATTTCTAACTGGCTCTCAACGGAGATGCACAGCTCTTATGCGATTCTCGACAGCAGAGGCTTTCAGCCTTGACACTGACACACATAGGGTTGCCTCCTTATTGAAATAATTATCTAATGCCATTAAATGATGTGCAATGTTGCACACTTATTTGAATTTTTGACTCTGTGAGCGGCGCTCATGACCGAAAACTAAAAAAATACAACTTACGTAGCGAATATCACGTATATGTTCTTGGTAAGGAGGTCATCTTAATTGTCTTTTCATATATATATATATATATATATATATATATATATATAACATGACTAGGCTCTGCGTGGTGATCCGTTCACCAACAGAGCCGACACGGCTGCATCGACGGCGATAAGCCTGCTGAGGCGCCGCTTCGTCGCGCCGCTGCCCGGCGGCGCATCAGCCAGGCTGGTCACACCCCCGCGGCCGTGTCCCTCCAGGAGGCAATCGCTTCCACGGCGGCCGCTCGACCGCCAGTTTGAACACAAAGCAGCCTTATTACAGCATCTGCGGCGGCGGCTTCGGCCGGCCACGGCGGCCGCGAGCGGCGGCCGCCGGCGCCGGCTCCGGCCGAACGAGGCCATTCGCCGACCGCCGGCAGGCAAGCCGCAGACATCGTCCTAATGCCGCGCCGCCATAACCGCCTTATGTGCCGGCCGCATTTGCCAGACGAGTCGGTGCGGAAGCCTGGCGACGGCTCCGGCGTGGGCCGGCGGGCGCGCCGCCTGTTACCAGCTGACCACGAGCCGCCGCCCCAGAGGGGGCGCCCCGGGCGGGAGCGTCGTTCTCGACGGGGCCGCCGTCGCTGCCGCGGGTCGGCCAGGCAGAGGGGCGGAGCGGACGGCTCGGGTTCACGGCAGCCGACAGGTTACCAGACGCGCGGTCACAGGCGGCGGAGGACGCTGGTGCACCGAAGCGACATGTGCGCGAGAGCGAAGGACGGCTCGAACTGCACACAGCGGGGGCGTGTCGTCGCTGCCCAGCCAGCTGCGGTCAGTCTCGTCGCAGGCACTGCACGAGCAGTTGTTCGAGTTGCGGGCTTCGGTGAGACACTCTCAACGCGAGAAGAGGCCCGTGCCACATCTGACGGGTAGGGGTGGAGCCTGGTATTACTTGAATATAAAATACTTCGTGCTTGCCAACTGCAAGCACGAAGTGTTGTTTCCCCACATCACAGCAGGGATGGGTGGAGCCTGGTATCTTGTTAGAAGGAAATAGTCCCAGTGCATGCATGAATTCTCTCGACATCTAGCACAAAAAAACTAAATATTCTTCGCGGTTATCAAGGGGCCGCGCCAACGTGCATGCTTTGGGGAATCGCAAATGGCCCCCTCCCTCACTTCCTCCCGTGTAGAATTATGAGATTCCCATTCTGGCCACCGAAGTCCACTCGAAGCCGCCCAGAGGTCCGCAACTCAGCCTGTCGGGTGCCACCCACAGGCGATGCGTGCCAGCGCGCCGGTGCCGCCCACGCCATGCACGTGTCGCGCGCATTGGCGTCGGCGGCGAGCGTGGCTGGTGACAAAGTGTCCCGCTCGAGAGCCTCGCCGCCTTCGGAGCCAGGTCGCGGCAAGCCGGCGGCCAGACTCCCGCTTATTAAACGCCACACCGTTTAATTACCGGAGCGCGGAATGGGTCCGTGCTGTTTAACATGTCAGGCAATGGGACCTTATTGCGCCGATCATGACAGGGTACGCCGCCGTGTCGGCGGCGGCCGCTCTATTTCTGGCGGGCGCCGGCTGCGCGCGGCGACAGAGCGCACCCGCGGGACGGGCCAAACGCGCCACCTCCGGCACAGCTGGACCGGCGGAAACACTCGCTCGGCGGCACTTGGCCGCACCAGAGGCTGGACAAAACAACTTACACAGGGACGCTCGTGCGCGGTCCCTGGACCCGCCCGGAAAGCACGAAGTATCAAAGTTTCTGGTAGATCTCGGCTCATCCTGGCTGGGACCAACGGCACCCCTGTACGGGCCGCATGGGAAGTCACACACCAGGGTTGCGCACTTCCCCTCATTTCCGTACGCCTGAGCCCCTGCCAGCGGCCCGCACAGGATGTAGAAGTTTTCACGCACAGCTGGCACGAAGCCGCAGCACGCAGGCTCTAACCAGTGGACAGTCTCGCTACGCAAACAAAACATGTGACGGTCTTCGGCACTTTGCGGCGGACCAAATGCCTTTAACCCAGACACATGTAGAAATACTGCCACCTCTGACGACCTGCACACTGCACCATACAGCTGCGGAACCACAGTTTAGTGGCCACATAAATAGGACCGGATTCGCTATCGCTCTCCAAGAAGTACCTTCCGCCGGGCCAAAATACGCTGCGGCCTGGTAATTAATGATCGTGCACCCCCAGTCGCGTGAGGGTTCGTAGTCATAGGGACCTGCAAACACTGACGCCTGCACAGATATAAAAGTCCCGTCCCTGGGTGGATGGTCGATGCGGCAGACCGACCATGCTGTATAAATCAATGTGGTTGTCCACCAGGCGTTTACTGGACACGATATTGGCCTCGTAAACAGCACCTCAGGACTATTGCCGCCTGCTCAACGTGGTCTTAGTCGGGCAGCGCTCCAGCCGGGGAACGTGCTGGCAGCCAGATGAAATTGAACACAACTCCTGCAGAAAAATACAGCAAATGGCATTGAGCCGTTGCATGAAGCTTTTAGTGCATCTTAATAGATTCGGCATCCCAGATTCTAGGTAAGCGTAAATGTATTTTGAGAAAAGCCTAACGGACTGCAATATTGCATTGTGCTGAGTGCGCGGAATTAAATATCAACAACGTCTGCGCCCATATACACATGTGAATAAAGTGTCACGGAAAAGGCATAGTCGTTTTCAAGAACTCTTGTGACGGTAGAACATCGCTATCACAAATGTTGAAGAACTTTACTCTCACGCAAAAACCACTAAAAGTCAATTATTTTTTTCACTGGATTAGTGACAGCTAGTCAGCAATAAGCCCATCAGATGTTCGTGTTAAATCCTCATCCAAGGTATGACTCCCGGCCGTGTCAGGTCAGCACACCATGACGTACCACGACAACAGATGCACCGAAAACGAAAGCCTGTCACGTGCCCGTCTTCCCGTCGTGCCGCCGCCGCCTCACCTTCCTTGTCGGCGGCATACAGGTCAACCAGCGCCAGCCGCACCTCCAACAGGAAGTAGTGATTCTCTGAGAGCACGCCCTGGTGCGCCTCCAGCCAGGCCTCGGCTTTGGCCGCGTCCCGCAGCGCCAGCGTCCTGCCCAGCGTCAGCGCCAACACCTGGTGCAGCGTGTGCACCTCGGCGGCCGTCATGCTCTTCTCGCAGCGGGTGCATCGCCAGCAGAGGTCCTCGCCGTGGCGGCGGCAGACACGGCGGCCGCCGCACGAGCCCCCGGTCGCGCCCTCGCCACCACGGCAAGCCAGTGCCGTCACGTCCGTGCCGAACTCGCTCGGGTCCTGGCAGCGGCGGCAGGTGCAGAGGAAGAACTTGGTGGCAGCCAAGTGGGCGCGGCGTGCCTCACCGCCCCAAAGCAGCGAGGTGTAGGAGGTGGTGACGCGTGCGCCCGCCGGCACCGGCTGCGTTGCCACCAGCGTCATCACGCCGGCGTCGTAGAAGCGGTTCGTGTTAGGGCTGCAGTCGTGCGCCATCAGGCAGAGGAGCGGGTAGAGCGCGCGCCCGCTCAGCCCGTCCTCTGCCGAGACGGCGAAGCAGTTGGTGTCGAGCACGCCGGCGATGTGGACCAGCGTGCGCACGGCCACGTCCTGCGCGCAGACGGTCTGCAACGGCTCCACCACGTTCTGCAAACAGCTGCCCAGCCAGGCCGTGCGGCCCAGGCTGGCCACGTTGTCCTGCAGGCAGTCCACTACCGGCCAAAGCGGCGACTGACGCTGGCGCAGCAGCAGGCAGCGCAGCACGCCCAGCACGGCGCCGGGCGCGCGCCAGCTGCGCCACGGGCTGCTGGCACGCAGCGGCGCCAGCACGGCGCACTCGGCATGCAGCGAACGCGCCTCCGGCGGCTGGTCAGCGCAGGCGTCACAAACCGGCCAGCCACAGGAGGCGCAGCTGGCAGCGGCTGCCGACCGCTGACTGCAGCACACGCACAGAAGGCGGCTCTGCGGCGCCGCCACGGCCTGGGTCTCGCGCGCGATCACCTCGCCCGCGGCCAGGTCACGGGTGGCCACCAGGTGGCGGCCCACGCTCTCGTCCACCGCGATGCGCACGTTTGGGCTGTTGCCGAGCGTGGACCGCAGGTACTCATCCAGCACGGCCAACGTATCACCGGGACCTTCATTCATCGCTCAGCACTGCGCGCCACTCGCTGAGCTCGGAGTCCCGTCCGTGCGCCACTTCCCGAGTCCCGTCCGTGCGCCACGCTCCCCTCGACGCCGCCCAAACCGTGCGGTGCGCGCTCGGGCCGCGGTCTGGGCCCGGGCGGCCGCTCTTGGCAGCGGCGAGACGGCAGCGTGCCGCGCGCGGCGGACTCCCGGCATTCCGGGACGGCAGCCGGACAGGACGCCGGCATGACAGCTAGGGGCCGAGGACTGACGCGACAGCCAGGAACCGAGGCGCGGTTGCGGGAGGAAGCCGATACATGGCTGCAGGGAAGGGTCAGGGCGCGCGGGGGGGGGGGGGGGCGATAGGCTAAGCTGATGTGTCATCCTTGAGGTGCTTGAGCATTTGTGAGATGGCACATACGGGCGTTCATACTTACGGGCTGTTTAAGGCAGAGAAGGCACGGCAGTTGTATAGTTACATTATTTACTTTTGCTTTGAACCCCGATGCTCACTCGACTAGCGTATTGGTCGCTGCTGTTCAAAGTAGTGCTTATTGAACGGACACTGACCTCGCCGCTCCGCAGGTCCAAATGATAGAACGATTGTGGTCTGCGTGATTAACCACACAGCTTTGAGCCGTATGTGTGGGCCCCGCGGCTTCATGACGTCATTGCCGTGGTGAACGCCTCCGTGCCTTGCCGGAGGGGTGTGATACCTTAGGCGGGAACCAACCAAGGCAACGTTGCTACGCAACCCAAAAAAGATGTCCCTGCTAAGGAGCACAAAGGAAAAAAAGCTAATGTCTGGCTGATTCGCAAAAAGTGAAAAGATTGCTGAACTTGTTTTAGACGGAGTCTGGCTGTAATCGTTGCAGACAGACATGGTTTCCTGAGTTCCCCATGGAAAGGCATGTCCTATGGTGACGGCAATTTTGGTAGACGCGTCAGTATCACCATGGTAACCAAATTATCCATCCTCGAGGAATTGTATACACATCTGCCGGCAATGCATTAATCCATGCGCGCTCTCAGTTAATGAGCTAAAGAGGCAGCTCTTTTCAGTTGCAAATAAATAAAGCAAATCGCAAATAACCAATGACTGATAACCAAGCCGAGGAATAAATAATACTTTTTGGAGGCGATTAGCTACCCAGTGCAATAACTGGATGGTAGGTGTCCACTTGTCTTGTCTTAATGTCGTAATTTTCAGCATGTCACGCCACACCGGTTTTCCATAAATCGGGAACAAGTAAGGCCTAGGTCTTGTTGGACGGTTGGTCGTGTTGGACGTAAACGCCATTCACGTTAGCATGCTCGATGAATTTGATAGATTGCGATTCACTTCGGTTATTTTTTACCTTTGTAGGCATTTCCGTCCAACCATGGAACACCCAGGAACCGCATATGACATAGATCGCTGACCTAAGTCCATCCTGAGTTGCATGAGCGGTACCTCATCAAAATCATTGGAAAAGGGTGGGGCCAGATGCCTGTAAATGAGGTGTCTTGCAGCCGTTTTGGACAATTTTGTTTCGGTTTTGATCAAGCATTGGGACGTTTAGACAAATTAACTAGCCCAAGGTTTTACAAACATTCACGAAGTATTTCTATGAGGGAATTTAAGGTATTTTAAAAGGCGTAGAGCTCATGGCGCTCAGTTATGGCTGTTAGATGGACATAACAACATCTAAAATGTCAATGCGGCTCATATTTGGCGCCATTGTATATGGCCAAACACAGAAATGGCTCAAACTATCCAACGGTTACTGGGGTTAGAACGTGGCACCGACCTTATACCGGCGACAACGCTGATGCCTGTTGATAGCGTACACCTCAGTATGAAAACGGCGATACGCTGGATCCAGTTTGTGTCACGACAGTATCACTCCACTTCACTTTAACGTAGACTTGTTACAAACGTTCATCACATGCTGCTAATCTACGTTGCATGCTTATCCCTCTCCCCTACTTTTTAAAAGCATCGCTCTTGCGTGACCGTTTTCTGGTTCTGATTCTGACCCTGCTTCTTTTATAGTCTACAAACGCCACTCATACCGGTGCGTAGCACTTGTCATCAGAAGCTTAGGATAGGTCAGTAACCGGATTGTGCAAATCTGTGTCATGTAGTGCAGTGAGGTTCGTAGCGCTATACGCAACTAAACTGCGATTGCCCTAATGTAACATTCACCTCGAGTTCAAATGGCAACACAGTGCTGGGAGATGTTATCAAATGTTACCAAGGCTTCTCACCGGTGTTTCAATCCATCCAGTCCTATTTAGTCCTGATGCCAGAGGCAGGGTGGCGGGGACTTAGCCGGCGCCAGATGTGAGTTGTGAGTTGGCGCAGCGCCCGGCGGAGCGAGAGTTAACACAGACTGACGATCTTTCAAAACAGCCAGGTGATATGAGTGGCGTGAGACATGAGATATGCCAGGTGATATGAGAGACGTGCGTAAACACGCGTTCCCCTGCCTATCAATGAGCGTTTGAAGTGCAGCACGCGCCCATGTCCGGTGCCCGGTGACGGCGGCTCCGGGCCGGCGCAGAGGGTGTCGTCGCGGCTCGGCGGCCGCTGTCCGATGGACCCTGGCACGTGGCCCGGCGCTCCGCCGCCGGACTCATGGCCGCACGCGGCACAGCGCTCCTGGCAGGGGCTCCGGCCCGACAGTCCGGAGCGTTCGGACGGCACGGGGCCAGTGGTGTCCGGGGGGGGGGGGAGGAGTTGAGGTAGTCAGGTTTTATTCAAACGTGAGCGAAGCTGAGACACCACGGGCGTCGCCGTTTCCGTTGCACGTTTGACAGAGAGGACGGTGAGCCTCTTTTGCAAGGGCACCCAACCGATCAAGGACTCAAGATCTGTTTCCGAGCACGAGATCTGTGGGCGTGACTGGCTGCACCCAGATCGGCCGGCTTAGGAAGTGGATGTAATTAACTGGCTCGTCGTCCTGGGGGTCAGCAGCTGGTTGCATCGCACCTCAGTGCTTCTACGCTGCAAGCGCTGCCATGGAATCCTCTGCGACAGCTAGTATAATGCGCCAAAACCTTGAAAAAGCGTGGCGGACGTAACTGTAAAGGTTTTAACTTTTCGCATCACGCTAGCACTAAATTATGTAACTTTTTTCCTAGCCACGTCGCTGGAGTCTGGATCTGTGGGGAGACTTTCGATCCGATGGTATATCAGAAACAACACACTGACTGGATCGAAAGTACTCTCAAACGGACTGGCGTGGCCCAATCTATCAGTTTCTGATAAAAATGCAGAATGTCGGCGCCGGATGGCAAAACATCTGATGACGCTGCATTTCGCGAAACGTGCCAATTTCCGCGCTAAATTACGCCAAGCAAACAATAAGATCAAAGGATAAGAAAACTCATTTGCAAAACGAAGTCCCACCCTGGCAAGAACCTAGGGCTGACTGTTTCGCGCAGATGGACATTGTGTACTACACAAGCCAATGTGCTGCTCACGGGCGTACAAGACAAGCGAGCAGGAGCAGCCAAGACGGCTCGTAATTGCGTTACATTTCGATGACGTTACTCAAACCTTACTTCTAAGATATGGGTTGTGTACTACTTTACAAGCAAGACAAGTATGCAGGTCGAATTAGCCAACAAAGGATAGTTAACAAAGCTCGTTAAGCTGTTGTGCTTGTTAGGCGTTTTGTGAGAGCTTTGATGAGAGGGTTCCTACAGTTGCCTCTTGGAATAAGCATCGGTGTCTGTCATAATTTACTGCGTTGCACCGGAGGGTAAACAGTCCAACGACTACAATGAAGTGAGATGCTCGTCTTCCATTTTCCCTCAAGAGCAGAGGGACTGAAACCGATCAGATGATGTTTTCCCCATGTTGGCAAGGCTTATTTATCTGGTCCACCTGCTCTGAAGGTTTTCAAAAGTTTGATGCACTGTTTGATGCAGTGCCTACTGGCAGTCAGTGTTGCTCTTGCAGACTTTGGCGAGGGAAAATACTTACATGTAAGGCAAGCGCCAAAATTACGTGAGGTAAAAGGAAATTACAGGCTATTTTAGGCCTTGGTGCCTCTTTTGCTTGTTTCACCTGAAACTGGCAGTCATAATTCGTATCAACTTTTGACTTGATTCTGTGAGCTTTGATCACACCCTGGTGGCTCGTGGCCCACTTGGCTTTATGCTTTGCCCCGCATATCCAGTAAATCACCGCTGATCTTCGCGTGGCTCAAATGAGCCATAACCCAAATGCCCCTGAAGCCCATTTGATGCATGTGTTGTGAGACCCAAACCGGAGATGAAGTTATTTTCTGTTGTGGAGTCTGGTGGCTCTGCTTCCGTCTGGTGGCTGCCTGGTGATTCTGCAAGCGACTCCACCTGGCGACTCCACTTGGTGGTCCTACCACTGCAGTGGCAGACAGCCACAAGCCGAAGTCAGTGCACTGCTTGGTGAACCTGCCTGGTGAATCTGCCCGTTGGCCCCGCTGGCTGGCGGTTTTACCTGGTGTTCTCGTGCTTACGTCATGTTCCCACGTCCGTCCATGTATTCCAGTATCCCAGCCTGTCCTAACCGTCTTGAACTGACGTAACTTTCCGCTATCCCCTGGGTTCTGCTCCTGGGTAACGGTAGATGGAGAAGAAGCCTGATATGATCGCCTTCTCGTGGACGACTACGTGTAGTGCTGAAGGTTACAGAAAGTTGCAAGCACTTTTACAGCAGGTACTGTTCAGTCCACTTATGTCACTTCATGCTGATATAAAAAGGCAGGCTGATAAAAGCTTAGGATGCAAGTTCAGAATTTGTCATCCCTTCTGACCAATTGTGCGTCAGATTTAACAGACCGCGCCGTCATTCCGTGCTCTGAGCTGTACTTATAAATCATTTCCTCCGGCCGATTTTGTGGCAAAGAACATGCCAGCCAGCCTCCAGCTCGGAGCCGGTTTTGAACCATATGGCGTGCGCACTACCACGTGGCATGGCGAGATGCGAACTGCCGTTGATGCTGCCACGTAGACATGCGCCTGCCAAGCCTCGCCTACCGTGACACACTGGTGCACGTTCGCCTGCGTGGCGCCCGAAAGGCCTCGTCAACAGTGCCACACCTGTGCAACTCTGCCTAAGGGACGCCGGCTTCCTCCGCTCGGGAAACGCATGATCCCC